AGTAACATATTTTGTAATTATGTCTAGCGGCTGTAGATTCTTTTTATTGTACTGATGTCATTGAACCTTTATATGTTCAGGTGCATGCATTCTGTGTGTTAATTGGTGCACGTGTGGGCATTTTGCATTTTTATTGATGCTTTGTCTAGAGTGGCCAATATTTGGATAAGTTGGCCCACTCACAAATCACACGCGCTTTGGAACTCTCTCTCTCTCTCTCTTTGTGACTGTATGTACATGCACATTAAGGTCTGATTTCTGACTCTATCGTGTTTACTTGAACCACAGTGATGTGGATTTGACAGAAAAGTTAGACTACTCATCTGCTGTGGCACTGCTCGGGTACTCTCTTCTTCTGGCCATACTTAGAAGTTTCAACGTGAGAGACGAGGCTGCCAGAGTCATGGTTGCTGCTCCATTGCTCGCCTTTACAACTACCCATATATTGTTCCTCAACTTCTATTCCCTTGACTATGGTAACATCTCCGTTCTTTGGTAGTTTCTACTTTCAGCATTTTATCAGGGGGTTAGTTTACTCCAATATGTTTTTAGTTAATTATTTATCTCACAAAAGATACTCCGCTTATGTGGACAGTTTGTATTGTCACATGTCTCATTTGAAATACAAAATTGGACGAGCACTTTTCTTTCAACCAGTGCTTTAATCCTGATCCTGGTTGCATAATATTTATTGAGAGAACATCATGCCCTTAGAGATTTCAATACATAAATTTCTTGCATTACTGTCTACAATGACATGATGTGAAACATTGTACAGGGTGGAACATGAAAGTATGTGTAGTCATGGGGGTTGCTCAACTTCTCATATGGGCAATTTGGGCTGGTATGAAGCACCATCCTTCTCGCTGGAAGTTGTGGGTGGTGGTCTTTGGAGGTGGCCTAGCTATGCTTCTAGAGATTTATGATTTCCCTCCTTATGAAGGATTCTTTGATGCCCATGCTTTATGGCATGCCACAACTATTCCACTTACCTACATATGGTGGAGTTTCATTAGGGACGATGCCAAGCTTCGAACATCTGTCCTCCTTAAGAAGGCTAAGTAGCTCCTTGTAAGACTGACTTGTAAACCATCATCGTCTTCTAGCACCTTGACCACTCTGTCGTATTAATTGGCAGAAGGTTTTCATATTTTTTATTTCTTTTCTTGTTATTGTTCTTCTTATGAGCAGAAATGGAGATTGCTTAGTTGGGATTCCTTGTTGGTTGAAACTTGGAAGACCTATTTTGTCGGAATTGGATTCAGAAACCAATATTGAAGTTGTAACAGGGGAGTAATTCAATTCTTTTGTAAATTTAACCCATTATGCTTGAACATTTTACTCGCTTTGTTATCATGCATTTATTTACGAGCATTTTTGTGGCTGGTCCTGCCATGCATATATGCACTCCTTGCAGTTTTAAAAATACAGTTTATGTAATTTGTTCCTTCTAGTTCTCATGGTACTGTTTAGCCAATTGCTAGTCATCTTGAAGTAATGTATGTATACCAAGTGTTGAAGAAAGTTTTGTTGGGTGATGGATCATGAGAAGGCCAAATTGAGCTGGCTTTTAAAATCATGCAATATCATTAATTAAATGTTTTTTCGAAACAATGTGCTTATGCATGATATCTTGGTCAATTCATGTTATATTAATTAATGTTGTTTTTTATATTTTATAATATTAAGAAAACGAGGAATGAGACTTTTTAAAATCATTTTCTTTTCTTTGTTGCACTACGTGACAAGATCTTAACGTAGTTCTCGTATTCTTTTAAAATGTTATATTAAGTTTATATATTAGAATTCGTATAAATTAAACCTCTGTATTACTAAAATTTATTAATCAATCCAACTGTTATAATTATCAAGTTATTGATCATATTGACATGGTGTTGAACAAGTTAACAGGTGGACCAATGTTTTAAAAATTGCACATCATTGCTTGTCAACACCTTAATCAATATGATCAATGTCATGTTAGAAATTTTAATCAAAAAAACTTAGTAGTGATAATGATTAGATTAACATTAATAAATTTTTTTAAAAGATAAAAATTTAATATATACAAGCTATAAAAATAGTTTATTGAAATATTTCAGTATTGTAACAATTATGTCTCTTTGATTAATAAAATGATGGGTGTACTGAAATATTTATTGTATTTTGCTTCTTATATAATTGGTCTAACAATGTTTTGTCATGGCAACAAATTATAAAGATGAGTTTTTTTTTCTTTTTCAAATAAAAAGGAAGTCATACGTATTCCCTTTTGGCATGTAGGAACCAAACAATTATGAATTGAAATACACAAAAAATAAAATTAGGAACTAAATAAAAAATTATATTTCCTATTCTAAGTCATGGACAAAATCAAGCGGTTTTCTTGGCTTAATTAATCCATAAAAAATAATTAATCACTTATATTTTTAATTTATTCATTAATAAATAAAAAGACATGTGGCATTTAGTTCAGTTATTCACATAGGATAATTATTTTTTTTTTTCAAAATTTTCTCTTTTACAATATATTTATAATTAGATTTGATGTGAAATGGAAAGAAGGAAAAAGTAAAAAAAAAAAAAGAAATTAACTATGTTAGAACATGACCCATGCATTGCATACGAGTCAAATATAAATTACTCACATATATGATCTGGGTAAAACTCATATCTTTACAACTTATATGAATAATTTTAAATTTTTTTAAAAAATATTATTTAATTTTTTAAAATATCTTTTAAGATCCGATTAAGTTTTTATATATATATAATCAATGCCTAGAACAAAGCCCAAAAGAGGGAGCCCAAGCCCAAAAAGGAAAACGGGAGCTCACGCTCAGGCTCTCAAACGCACTGCCTTCGGCGTGTCATCAAAATACAAAGAGGACATATCGCGCTTGGCCTGCCTTATTCGAGAGAGAGTTCCCAAAATCTTCATCTCTTTCTTTCTCTCGCTGCCCCGCTCTCTCTCTAGCTTGGGTAAGCTCTGCGCCTTTCGCTTTCATCTTCAGTAAGATCCGCCCCCATGTAGATCCTTTTACATTTCTTGTTTTAATCTTAAATCCTGTTTTCATTTCATTTTTCTTTCTTACTTGGTATACATAATATGATTCAGTTTTAAATAAATCATTGTAGTTATTTAGTTCTTTTTATATTTCTGGGTATTGATTACGGAATATAGATATTTATATAGCTGTTGCCATCCCTAGATCCGAAACTAATAACTAAAACCTCAATGAAACGAAGCTTTTAAATCCGAACTAAGATCACACTTTTTGTTATTTTCTTGCATTTTCTCAGAAACTAAACGGAAGGTAAGGGGAATTATATCTGATCCCAAAATTTGTTTTTGGTTTTTGCGAAGCACCAAATCAAAGTTTTCAAAAAAAAAACTTTAATTTTGTTTTTTTTTTTTTGCAGGAAATTTTGTGTAAAATTGAGATCTGGAATATGGGTTTTTTGGTAACGACCCTAATTTTTGCCGTGATTGGGATAATTGCATCGCTTTGTACCAGAATCTGCTGTAACAGAGGTCCCTCTGCTAATCTGTAAGTGCCCTATTAAGGATTTTTCTTCTTTTTTTTTTAGAATTTTATTTGCTCTTTTTAGTAAGATTTTTGGGATTTTAAAGTACATATGCTAAAAATCGTAGCCTTTTCACAATCTTGGTTTAATATTTTCTCAATCAAGTTTAAAGGTGTTTGATTGGTATGCAAAAATGAAATATGCTTTAATTTGGTATAATTTGGTATGGTAAGTAGGGCTGTTAGATAGAATAGTTGGCGTTGTGAACCAGTGCTGAATTCTTTGTGTGGGGGTTGCTTGCTGTGAACTGGAATGAATCTTATAACCTCTCATTGCGTTGGTAACAGACCAATAATTTAGCTTAACTGATCTGCTGGGATTTTCATTATGTAGTACTATGCTTTGATATACTATGGCCTGGTTTGTCATCTGGAGACTAGGAAACTTTCTTATATTTGATTAACTTTTGCCAATAAGTGTAATGCCTCTTTTGATTTTCCTTGTTCTCATTGGAAAACCATTTTCCTTGTCTTCTTATGCAGGTTCCACTTAACATTAGTCATTACAGCAACAGTCTGTTGTTGGATGATGTAAGTTATATGCTTGCTTTACATCTTTTCATTCAGTAGTAGCTCGATTTTTAAAATACATGCTGTTCATAAAGTAAGTATCAATATGAAATCTTAAAAGCATTATGATTATTTATATTGTACTTTATTTGGCCATGTTGTCATTCCAAAATTTTGGTTAAGATGAATGTTGTAATGCCAGTGCTTTTTCTTCCTCACATTCTGCAATGAAATTTTTTTTTTTTCTTCATGGTATATATTTTAATTCTAATTTTGCATAGTGCCTTATGCTAAATTTGAATGGCTTTGCAAAAGCCTAATTTTAAGGTGTTTATAAAGAATTGTCATAAAACTCTGAATGAAATGTCTTGTTTAGCTTGTTCATTAGGTTTTTAAGCTATGAATTCACTGATAGGACACCTTGTTAAAGGTTGAGCTCTTTAAGTACCTTGATCTGTTATACCTTATGCGACCAATTTGTGAGAGTTTGATGGTTGCTATAATTGTAGAAATATTGATTTGGAATAAGTTGGATTCATAGGTTATCGTGATAAAGTTTTTAATTTATCATTTAAAAGAACACTAAATATGTTTACTCTTCTGCCTTTGGCGCTCTCGGATTTGATAACCAAACATTCTTTGTTTAAGAATATACTCGTCTCCATCTTGAATGCTTGTATACTATCGATACTCACAGTGTCCTGCATTCACTGCATGGGTATGCATCTTTATCCAGTGATTCGAAGGACATTAATCTTTGTAGTCACTTTTATGTAGATCTCTTATTTAATAAGTAAACATATCTTATTTCATTGTCTTTCTGGTTTGTAATGTTAATTCTTTTGCTTTGATAGGTGGGCAATTGTATATCTTGCGCAAATGAAACCGCTTATTGTCCCCATTTTGAATGAAGGAGAGTGAAGTCCTTTACACAAAATCTTTTTGAGGATTATCTTAGACTGTGGATTGGCCACTGAGTAGTATTTGAATTTAGTTGTCATGGACGATTCAGTGTCTTCTCATGTTGATTCTGTATATAATCCGCATTTGAGCATGGACTTTGAATTGGTATTGTGTTGGCACTTGATGTTAGCAGTCTCATTTGTTGTATTATCCTTTATTCAGTTTTAATAAGAATTAGTGTTGTTCTATCAAACATTATGTAATTTCAAAAAATAATTGCAAAAAAAGATTACATTTCTCTCCAATTACTATCAACATCGTTTGTCCTTTTTATTTTCCTCTTTGTTTTTGGATTGGCTGCTTCAAACCTAGCATATCTGTAGCAAGAGCAAGTTGAATGGGAAATAGTAATGTCCTTCATTTAGTGTATCCAACATTACTGTAAGTGGGCATATTTTGTTTGTAATGATGCTTTGAAGAACTCTCTTACGGTTAATCTTTGGCTTGATTGGAAAAGCAGTTGATTATAGCAACTCTTAGTTACCATTGCCATGCAAAATTCAAACAATTAAGAGCATTTGCAAACCAATGCACCAACTCTTGAAGGCCTTTGCCCTTTGGTCATCAGTATATGAACAAGATTTTGTCCATGATATATATTTTAATTCTAATTTTGCATAGTGACTTATGCTAAATTTGAATGGCTTGCAAGGTATGAATTCACTGAATAAGACACCTTGGTTAAAGGCTAAGCTCTTTTAAGTACCTTGATGTTGTACCTTATGCTATCAATCTGAGAGTGTTTGATGGTTGCTATGTTTTCAATTTGTAGTTTACAATATTTATGTATTATCATTTTAATTATAAAATGTCATCTTGTAAACATGTAAAAATAAAAATTAATTTTTTTAAATAAATATTTTTAAATTATAATTATATGAATGTATAAAAATATTTTTAAAGTTTATCTTTTAAATTTATTTATTAATAAGATGACAATATTTGATTTATTGATAATATATTGTATCAAATATAAACGCATATATTTGTATTTTTCAATTTTTGAATTCAAATAATATTTGCACATTTAATTCATATTCGGTCTTTTACCTCAAATTTTCTTTAGATGAGAAGGGAGGTTGCTCATCATTATTGTAAAATTGGACTGCGACCCCAATAAACTAAAAGAATGGGTCAATTCTATTCCATTAGTAAAATTATACAATTAGTCCATATATTCTATTAAAATGATGGATTTAATTATTACATAGTAATTTATAAAAATTAAATTTTTATACTTTTCAAAATTGATAATGTCAATCTAATCATTAACGGTATTAAATTTTTTCTGTTATTTATATTGATATAATATTTGACAGTATTGACGTGGTACTGAATTTAATGACATACATTGAATTTGATGATATGATACCCAGTAATGATGCCTTAATTATTGTTTAGGGATATAATTATTGCATCATCTTAGATGTAATATTATCAAATTCAATGTCACATTAATACAATCAAATATTATATTAGTATAAATAATAAAAAAATTTAATATTATTAATAATTGGATTGATATTGTCAATTTCAAAAACTACAAAAACTCAATTTTTACAAATTACTATACATGATTAAATCCAACACTTTGACAAAATATAGAGACTAATTGCATACTTTCACTTAGGTGGCATTCGGTACTTTACAATGCAATGTGATTGCAAGCAATATAATTGCAGGGAAAATAACATTGCACTGTTTAGTATACAAGCAAAATATTGATTAAAATGTTGAGAAGATAATATTGCAGCGTTTGGTTAACAAGTACTTTGCTGAGAATGTAATATTAATTTTCAAAATTATCCCTATTTTATTAAAATGTAAGTTTAGTATACTTATATGTTTTATTGTTAATTTTTATATGATACCATCTCTTAAATATATTTTAATGTCATATATATTTTTTTATTCCTTATTGTAATCTTATATATTTTATTTTCATTTCTTTAATATAATTTTTTATATTATATATTTTATTTTAATTTCTTTTACCTATGTTATATAAATTTTAATTTCTTATATTATATTTTATTTTAATTTTTTATTCTTATATTATATATTTTATATTAATATCTTTTATTTTAATTATAATATTACAAAATATTTTTAACAAGATAATAAAGTTGAAGGGTAAAAATATTTTTAAGAATATTACAAAGTATAATATAATGTAATTGCATTAGTTTTGAACTGTAATCACATCACATCATTTAGTTGTAATATGATTGTATGGTAATCTTATATTACAATGGTCTATTGCAAAATAAACATTACAATGTAATTTAATTAAACACATTATAAAGAATATGCTCCTACTTACTTCATACCAAATGTTACCTTATTTCATTCTAAAGTCTATAAATTTTTAGACTAAAATGCCCTTACTCATTTTAAAAATTTTCAACTTAGACATAAATATTTACTTTTCTTCTCATTTTTCTCTAAATTTCCTCAACCCACTATAAAAGGGCGACTACAACAACGATTGTAGCTCTAAGGCTGAATATGAAGCTCCTTGACCAAATCCAATTGAGACAACATCGAATTTGACATTTTTCAGTGAGATCTAGTCGTAGGAAGTGTTAATTTTGCTCCCTAATATCTAGATTTGGTCACATCTTCAACGACATACCAATGTAGAAGAAAGGAAAAGAAAAAATATTATAATTATAATTATAATTATATATTATTGAAGTGTAATATTTGAAATTTATAAATTAAAGTAAAATTATGATTATTTAAATTATAAATAAAATATTAATATTTTTGAAAATGTTAATGTTTAAATTATAAGTAAAATATTAATATTTTAAAATTAAATAAAATAACTATATTAATATTTAAATTATAAATTATTAACAAATATATATATATATATTAAGTATTATAAAGATTATCGACATCTGAGTATTTGATTCATTAGTTTGTGCATGGTCTTCTTATTTAAAGAGTAAGGTTCGAACTCCTTCTCTCCTCAAAATAATAAAATTGATGCTTAACCAAAAAAAAAATCAAAACATATAAAAAAAAATCAAAACATATACCAACTCACATTATGTTGATAAAATCTTTACAATATTTATATATTTATAATTAAATTTATTTTTTATTCATATTAATACTGAGAAAAAAAATAAAAAAATAGAAATCTCATGAGCACACGTGACAACATATTGATGTATTTTAGAACTAATAACAGCCGGTTGAGTCATGACTTTAGTTACTCGTTACCTGGTTTAACCTCCGGTTTGACTTGAAAGCATTGAATAAAATGATTCTTCTTCTACAACAGAAAACCCCATTATGATTTCCAACAGAAACTCCAATCCCACAATGAGCATGTCAATGTAAATTTGTTTCTCGTGTTTGGGTTTTGTTTTGTCTTTCCCAGCGTGTTCCTTAATTATATTGGTTTTGGACTGTGTACACCAACTGTTCGAGGATTTGTCTCAAGAAAGCAGTGTCTTTTTATATTACTTGAGAATGAAAACAAGATCCATATTAAGGTTGTCGTCTTCAACAATTTCATGTAAAAGGCCTGATTCTATGTTTGTTTCAGTGAGGCAAATATCAACCGGAGGAAAGAGGCCAAAGAAGAAAATATACCACAGAGACTATCAACTTGACAAAGTCATGGACTTGCAAAAGAAACCATCTTTAATTCTGCAATTGAAGTCCGTTATCCAATCCCAAAACCAACAATGCCTCCTTCTGCGCGACCTTGAAAAGGAAGTTGGGTTTGTGGCAAAATGGAACTTCATGTCCGTCATTGAGAAGTACCCTTCAATTTTCCATGGTGGTGGTTGTAGTGGAAAACAACTCCCTTTTGTTACGCTCACTCGAAAAGCCAAAAAGATTGCAAGTGAAGAGAGTGAAGCAAGGATTTTAATGGAACCCATTTTGGTCAAGAATCTGAGGAAGTTGTTAATGCTGTCAATTGATTGTAGGGTGCCATTGGAAAAGGTTGAATTCATCGGAAGTGAACTTGGCTTGCCTAAGGATTTTAAGAAGTCATTGATTTTGAAGTATCCTGAATATTTTTCAATCAAAGATGTCAATGGTAGAGCTTATCTTAACTTGGAGAACTGGGATTCTTCGCTGGCAATAACTGCTCGTGAGGAGAGATTCGCACGTGAAGGGGTGTTGGCATCAGGTGGGGGTCTAAAGAGGGTTAGGATCATGAAAGATGGTAACTATCTAGGTCCATTTGCGTTTAAGATGTGTTTTGCTGCTGGTTTTAGACCGAACAAGAGTTATCTTGAGGAGCTTCAGAGGTGGCAGAAAATGGAATTCCCTTCTCCATACTTGAATGCAAGGAGATTTGATGTTGCAGATCCGAAAGCTCGGAAAAGGGTGGTGGCTGTGCTTCATGAACTCCTCAGTTTGACTATGGAGAAGCGGATGACATCTACACAATTGGATGCATTTCATTCAGAGTATCTGTTACCGTCTAAATTAGTGCTCTGTTTGATAAAGCATCATGGTATCTTTTACATTACAAATAAAGGTGCGAGGAGCACAGTTTTCCTTAAAGAAGCTTATGATGGTACAAGATTGGTAGATAAATGTCCTATGTTGATGTTTAATGATAAGTTTGTTACGCTTAGTGGTAGAAATGAGATCAGTTCATTTAACAGTATGAATTCTTCACAGGTTGTTACATGAAATTTGCGGCTCCATTAATAATAGTGAAAAAGGGTTATTGAGAAACTAGTTCACGTGAAAATGTTGTGCATAAAATGAAGCTTCCAAACAATTCAACCCCTAATATGTTTCAGCCTCCACTTAATATTTCATCTTACTGAAACATCTACCAGTGTCATGCCTATATAATGATTTCAAACATTTGCCAATCCGCAGAGAATGGATTGTTTTTCTTATTTGTTCATTCTTTGTTTTGTTTGAACATGGCCAAGAACAGGTATATCTATGGAGTAATGACAAAATGCCTTCATAGGATTCCTTGATATACTTCTTTACTTTGGAATTTATGATACTATGAATGATTGGGTATTCATTTCATACGGATGTTGAGCTAAATTTTGTATGATTGGGTCATGAAAATTCCATGATTTTGGAAAATAGCTATTCCTGGTCTCAAAAGCTAACCAAAATGAAGGAGAAAAAAATTATTAAGAAAAGAGGGCATATCAAATATTTTATTTAGCTGTTATTTTTTGACTTATTTTTTTATAAAAGACTTTTTGACCTTTTTGAAATTAAATTAAAAAAAAATTAATTAGTGGATGCAATATATATATATATATATATCTTTGCTTTTTGAAAGAAAGAAATGAATAGAAGTCCAAAGTTGCGGCCAGCCCCTGTAGAAGAGCGGAAAACCAAGTAAACAACCTGTCTCTGCATCGGCGCTTCCCTCTTTCAGGTTGGCTCTATCTTTTCCCTTTCTCTCCGATTACTTTCTGTCTCTGTTTTTTCTTTTTAACGAGATTTTTGTGGATGATTTTTCTGATTATCGTCTGATACAGATTGATGCTATTTTTTGTTAGAAAAAATAATAAAATCATAGAAAAGAACATACTTGTATTCTCAAAGCAACATCTAAACGAAGCTAATTCTTTCATCTTTAGCAGACTCCAACTCTTGATTATATTTGCTCTGTTAATAGGCAGTTGACAAGTCCTAACAACTGACAACTTATTGGATATTTAGAGTTGCAGGAATAGCGCAGTGTGTTGATTAAAGCATGGCCAAGCACCATCCTGATTTGATCATGTGCCGGAAACAACCAGGTATTGCAATTGGACGACTTTGTGAGAAATGTGATGGAAAGTGTGTAATCTGTGATTCTTTAGTGCGTCCTTGCACGCTTGTGCGGGTTTGTGATGAATGCAACTATGGGTCATTTCAGGGGAGGTGTGTTGTCTGCGGAGGACTGGGGATATCTGATGCATACTACTGCAAAGAGTGTACACAGCTGGAGAAAGATCGGGATGGTTGTCCCAAAATCGTCAATCTGGGGAGTGCCAAAACAGACTTGTTCTATGAACGTAAGAAGTATGGTTTCAAGAAAAGATGATTGCTTGATATTTTACCTTCAGTGATTCTCTTTTGCCCCAGCTTTTGTATTTGGAAATAATAGATTTAAAAATGTTGGAATCATTGTTAAGACTTTGGTTTCTGGATTTGTTGTTGTTCAATATGTTTTCTCTGGAGCTGTAAATCAACTGTATAACAGGCCTGATTTGCATTTTACAGCTTACCGTATGCTTATGGATTCCTATTGGTGCCTTTTGCTAGGTACACGTGAAAGCTTATTGGATCTTGGATTTTACAATATGAAGTAACTCTCTTTATTTTTATAAGCTTCGCCCCTTGCTCAAGATTTGGAACAAATACCTTTTAATAGAAAATCTTAAGTTCTAATTGTTGGGATGTTTTCTTCAGGACATGTCAATGCTATTTGTAAGATATGTCAACATCATTCTTTAATAGGGTCACTTTGGATTCTGCAATCTGTTCAGTAGTTCTAGCCTAGTAGTGATCAATTTGTCTGCTGGATGGAATCCAAATGAATTTATTTGATTACTAGAGTAGCTTTGCTTTCCGTAATCTGTTTGGTACTTCAATCTGGTGCTTTCCTGTTGATTAAGTTTTGTCTAGTGAGCAGAATGTAAAGGAAATGTTGATTAAGTGGTGGTTAAGGTGAAGGTGGGTGTGGACTTTCAAGTATTTTGTCTTTTGTGTACGGGTTGATTAGAGTTTGACATTTATTAAGTAGTTTACTACTGTAATGTTTTGAATTTTACAGCTTTTATGGCACAATGTGAAAAAGCTGGTTATGTTGGGTGAAGATGCTTTCCACTATGCAAGTTTTTCTGATGGGCTTGCCATTGATGATCCTTTGTATATGGAAGAACCACTTTACTTGGAAACAATGGAATTGCCAAAGTGATTGCCGGTACAATTGATGGAGAAAAAGGAGAAGCACTTGGTGATGAACCTGTAAAGAATTATGGTAAATGGCCCTTCACACAGGTTTATGGGATTCAGTTGTCTTTTTAATGCATTAAACCTCAATGAAGTGTGTTTCTGGTTAATTTGGAAATTTGTCATAGTTATCTGCAGTATTAATTTTGATGTGGCCCGTTAATCTGCTCAGGAACCTACTTCTTTCACGTTTTCTGCACTCAACCTAGCAATTCATTTTCATGGTTGGCTGTCTTTTTTGATCCTTTTTTACTCCTTTTTTACTGTAATTACCTCTAAAACAAGATAAGAAGGCCTACTATAAGTCTGCAAGTATGTGGCACGCATATGAGCTCTTGTTGATAAACTCGTGGATCTGGAGTGTTGTTTTCCGCTGTTAGTAAGCATCTTTCAGTTCACCTCTCCACCCTATCCCACTATTACCCCTTCAGATTTATTGGGCTGGCTCTGGTCAACAATATCCGTGATTTTTTTGAGATTTTACCTTCAAACCTTGATATGGCTTCAAAATATTAGTCAATGTTATATTCAGTAGAATTTATTTGCTGGTTTGGACAAGCATTTTTCTATTAAGTAGTGCATTAATGTTGATCCTGTGTGCATATTCATATTGACTGGACATCCTTCTCTAAATGGTTTCTGCCCATAATTTTCTTGGATTACTGGTTCCAATGACATGAGATCAAACGTTATACAGTGTGAAATATGAAAGGTTGGGTTGTCATTGGGGCTGCTCAACCTCTCATTTGGGTGATTTGGGCTGCTAAGACTTGCCATCCTTCTCGGTGGATGTGGTGGGTGGGGTTTCTTGGAGGTGGCCTCGCCAAGCTTCTAGAGATCTATGATTCCTCTCCATTGCAAGGATTCATTGATGCCAATGCTTTATGTCATGCCACCACTATTCTCCTTACCTGCATATTGTGGAGTTTATTAGGTACGATGCAAAGTTTCGAACTTCCAACATCCTTAAGAAGGCCAAGTAGCCCCCTGGAAGATTGATCCTGTAAGAAGCCTATGTTTATTAAGTGGTACAAGGTTTTTATTTTGTTTGTTCTTGTTATGCTTCAGAAATGAAGGATATTTGCTTAGCTGGGATTCTGAGTTGGTTGAAACTTGGAAAACCATTTGGATGCTGGAATTGGGTTTCGCAATGGAAGTTAAAGTTACAAGATGGAAATTATTCTATTCTCTTGTGGATTCAAACCATTGTGTTTGAACAATTTTATGCTATATGTTTTCAAAGTATTATGAGCATTCATCTGGACTGGTGGTGGCTTCATCAAAGAAAGCAAACCTTGTGGACTTTATATCAGATAAAGATAAAAGTCATGAACTCTCTAACAAGGTTAAATTATTAAAAGGGTAATGTCTATTTGTTATCATAAGTTCACCTTTGTTTAATTCACTGAAATTATTCATATATATATATATATATATATTACCTATCTATAGGAATAAATTTGAAGAAGTGAAATGTGAAATTTGGTTATCATGAGATGCGCGATTATTACGCATATACATTTTTAACTCAAAAGATATATTTATTAAATGAAAAAAGATTGGTACTTATAAACTTAAAATTCATCTCTCACTTATATTAAAAAGACATGTCTATCAAATTGGAAATTAGAGAGCTTAAGACTCATCATGAGTTTTAATATTGTGTTTAAAATAAAATTTAATATATTTAGATAAATATTTAAATTTCATGAACTAAGATTATAATAAAGTTATCAAATCCGACCTAAATAATAATATTGCATCAATAAGTTTGAGACTTGGCGTGCAAGATCTTTAATTCATGAATGCTGCTATATAAAAAGGGCAATTCAACCACCTTGAAATTGGAAAATATCCAAAAGGAAAGTTTTCAAAGTCCAAAAGATATTTTTAGAAACCAGGTCTAAAGCCCAAGAGCCGGAGCCCAAGCCCAAAAAATAAACAAGGAAAAACCCTAGCTGATGCCCCTCACACTCCCACTCTCAAACGCACCGCCTTTGGCATCTCAGCGGGTATAAATAAGGCATATCCTCCTTTGCGTGCCTCTCATTCGAGGGAGGGTCATCAAAATCTTAATCTCTTTCTCTCGCCGCCTCCTCTCTCTCTCTCACTGGTAAGCTCTTCTCCTTTGCCTTTTCTACTCTGTTAAGATCTGTCCTGATTTAGATCCTTTTTTCCATTACTTGTTCTAATCTTAGGTCCTGTTTTCATTCCATTTTTGTTTCTTCCATTTTATAGATGAATATGATTCAAATCATTGCTGTTATTTATTTATTTTTATAATAATCTGGATATTGATTATGGAATATGGAATATCTACACACAATTGTGGCTAATTTGATTTCAGATCTCGAAAATTTCATTTGTTTTGGCGGATGATTTCTGGCTTTTTGATATTAGGCGTGTTTATATGTTGCTGTGCATTCTATTTGGAAGTTTAAGAACTTGTTTCTGTTGGCAGGTTTTGATTCTTATTTATAGTTGGGGTGTATTTTAAAGACAAGTCAAGATGGTGAGTTGAATGAATATATTAATCTGTCTCTTTTTGTGTGTTTTTGTTTAAGTTTTTTCTATGACTGTTCTTGATTTGACCTATGTTTTGATATATTACAGGTGAAGTTTACAGCTGATGAGCTCCGTCGTATTATGGACTATAAACACAACATCCGTAATATGTCTGTTATTGCCCATGTTGATCACGGTATGCCTTTTTTTGTTTCATAGCTGTTATTATTTCATCTGATGTAGAAGATAAAAGTTGTTGAGTAAATTTCAACTGTGACAATGATTGCCAATTTTTTTCAGTTCGTCATGTTTCTATGAAATTGCTTCATTGTTTAACTTGTGTCAAATGTTTGAAAAGATGGTAATATGAACATGTAGTCTGGATTTAATTGATGTTAGTTTTGTTTAGTTGCAAATTCAGAGCCTGTTTTGTTTATTACTGTGACAGATCTTTGCTTTTCAATAATCGTTAGTAGAAGTTATATTGCTGTATTAAAGCGTAGATTTTGTCAGTGTTAGTTCTGATTGTTTTCTGATATGCAGGGAAATCAACTCTTACTGATTCTCTTGTCGCTGCTGCTGGAATTATTGCACAAGAAGTTGCTGGTGATGTTCGGATGACAGATACCCGTCAGGACGAGGCTGAGCGTGGTATCACAATTAAGTCAACTGGTATCTCTCTGTACTATGAAATGAGTGAGGAAACTTTGAAGAACTACAAAGGAGAGAGGCAAGGGAATGAGTACCTCATCAATCTTATTGATTCCCCTGGGCACGTTGACTTTTCATCCGAGGTCACAGCTGCTCTTCGTATTACCGATGGTGCCCTTGTGGTTGTTGACTGTGTTGAAGGTGTCTGTGTGCAAACAGAGACTGTCCTCCGTCAAGCCCTTGGTGAAAGGATCAGGCCGGTCTTGACTGTTAACAAGATGGACAGGTGCTTCCTTGAGCTTCAGGTTGATGGTGAGGAGGCTTACCAGACATTCCAGAGAGTGATTGAAAATGCTAATGTCATCATGGCTACCTATGAAGATCCTCTTCTTGGTGATGTTCAAGTCTACCCTGAGAAAGGAACAGTTGCCTTCTCTGCTGGTTTGCATGGTTGGGCTTTTACACTGACCAACTTTGCTAAGATGTATGCCTCAAAATTTGGAGTTGATGAGTCGAAAATGATGGAAAGACTTTGGGGTGAGAACTTTTTTGATCCAGCTACTAAGAAGTGGACCAGCAAGAACACTGGCTCTCCTACCTGCAAGCGTGGATTTGTTCAATTTTGTTATGAACCCATCAAGCAGATCATCAACACTTGTATGAATGACCAGAAGGATAAGCTCTGGCCCATGTTGCAAAAACTTGGTGTCACCATGAAGGCTGAAGAGAAGGACTTGATGGGCAAGGCCCTAATGAAGCGTGTAATGCAAACTTGGCTTCCTGCAAGCAATGCTCTCCTGGAAATGATGATCTTTCACCTTCCCTCTCCTGGCAAGGCTCAGAAGTATCGTGTTGAGAACTTGTATGAGGGTCCTCTTGATGATATGTATGCCAATGCTATTAGGAACTGTGATCCCGATGGTCCTCTTATGCTTTATGTTTCAAAGATGATTCCTGCCTCTGATAAGGGAAGGTTCTTTGCTTTTGGTCGTGTCTTCTCTGGCAGAGTCTCAACTGGTTTGAAGGTCAGGATCATGGGTCCCAACTATGTCCCTGGTGAGAAGAAAGACTTGTATGTTAAGAGTGTACAGAGAACTGTTATTTGGATGGGAAAGAAGCAGGAAACTGTGGAGGATGTGCCTTGTGGTAACACAGTTGCTATGGTTGGTTTGGATCAGTTTATTACCAAGAATGCTACTTTGACTAATGAGAAGGAAGTTGATGCCCACCCAATTCGTGCCATGAAGTTCTCTGTCTCTCCTGTTGTTCGTGTTGCTGTTCAGTGCAAGGTCGCATCTGATCTTCCGAAACTTGTTGAAGGGCTGAAGCGTTTGGCAAAGTCTGATCCTATGGTTGTCTGTACCATTGAAGAATCTGGAGAACATATTGTTGCTGGTGCTGGAGAACTCCACCTTGAGATCTGTCTCAAGGATTTGCAAGAAGATTTTATGGGTGGTGCTGAGATCATTAAATCAGACCCTGTTGTGTCATTCCGTGAGACTGTCCTTGAGAGGTCTTGCAGGACTGTGATGAGCAAGTCTCCTAACAAGCACAACCGTCTGTACATGGAAGCTCGACCTCTGGAGGAAGGGCTAGCTGAGGCCATAGATGATGGACGAATTGGTCCTAGAGATGATCCTAAGGTTCGTTCTAAGATATTGTCTGAGGAGTATGGGTGGGACAAGGATCTTGCTAAGAAGATTTGGTGTTTTGGCCCTGAGACCCTTGGTCCAAACATGGTTGTTGATATGTGTAAAGGAGTTCAGTACCTTAATGAAATTAAGGATTCTGTTGTTGCTGGGTTCCAGTGGGCATCAAAGGAAGGAGCATTGGCTGAAGAGAACATGAGAGGTATCTGCTTTGAAGTCTGTGATGTGGTTCTCCATGCTGATGCAATCCATAGAGGTGGTGGTCAGATCATTCCAACTGCTAGGAGGGTTTTCTACGCTTCTCAGCTAACAGCCAAGCCAAGGCTTCTTGAGCCTGTTTACTTGGTGGAGATCCAAGCGCCTGAGCAGGCACTTGGTGGTATTTACAGTGTTCTTAACCAGAAGCGAGGACATGTCTTTGAGGAGATGCAGAGGCCTGGTACGCCACTTTACAACATCAAGGCATACCTTCCTGTCATTGAGTCTTTTGGATTCTCTAGCACTCTGAGGGCTGCAACATCAGGACAGGCATTCCCACAATGTGTGTTTGATCACTGGGATATGATGTCATCAGATCCAATGGAACCAGGGACCCAGGCAGCAACTCTTGTTGCTGATATCCGTAAGAGGAAGGGTTTGAAGGAGCAGATGACCCCACTTTCCGAATTCGAGGACAAGCTGTAAGCTAGAGAATAATGGAGAGGGTACGTTTGTGCGGCAAAATTTCTGCTGCAATTTAGTTTTGTTTTCTCTCTTTATATTTTGGTAGTAGTTGCTTCTTGGGTGCGGTCACCCATTTTATCATGTAAGGTCCTTTTTAGATGTTTTTTTATAATGACTCGAGAATTGTTCTGTGGTGTTACATTTTTATGTGTTGATTATGTATTCCAATCGACATTGGTTGTGCTAAAGTTATATTTTTGACCTTCATATGTCTGTCTTTGTGATTTATTTCAAGATGGTTGATTGTTTTACTGATGCAATTGCCAAAGGATTTAGGTCTGTCCTTGAGGCTGGGTGTTCTTATGGTTGTGGTCGTGGTAAGGACCGAAGTGCTCTTCGTAATAGCTGGGCTGAGGCTCGGTGGTTTTCTTACGAACGCAAATCCAGTGCTTTTTTATGAAGCCCTCCCCTGCCTGAGTTTCCACACGTAGCCAAATATTGGCTCGACTTCCATTCGTTATCTCTTCCAAAATTTGAATGGATATTCTGTGATTGTTTCTTTCCATTTAAAGGGAAATTTTACTATGGAAGAAAGGCCAGGCCAGGGGGTGGGTTCTTAACAAAAGGCAATGCGAGGGATAATCAGGAGAGTTGTAGGAATAGCAAAGCCAAATGCAAAGCTGTGCATGTACCTGAGGCGAGCGTTGACTAACTAAATTCCTCATTCCTTCTTGTTCGTCACTCCTCAACTGTAGTACAACGGTAAAATGTCGTTCTTCACCGGCGTTTTACATCAAGTAATCGGAAAAGGTCTAAAATCTGCAGATTTATGGCTTGTTTTAGATGACCTCAAACAGCTGTCTTTCACTCATTCCAACGCCGTTTCCTCCCTGGATGTCTCAATTCTTCTTCGCCATTTCAAGTCTTCCATCCTCTCTCTTTTCTCCCCTTTAACTCTGTATTATTATATTTTATTTATATGATTTTATACTTGACTCAAAATAAATACAAATGATAGAAAACGAAATAATAATTAATTAAAATAACTAAACTTACAACATTGAAGAAGAAAGTTGTGTCGCCTGAAATATTGTAAGATACATATAATTTCTTCCTTTTTTTTCTTCAATTTATTTCAATTTTAGAAAAATTTTCTTTTGAAAAGATTTTCTTTGCTTACTTTCTTGCTTACCGAGAAGTTGAAGATACATTTAATAATAGACTAAATGTTTAATTTGGGGTCCAAATTTTTGAGTTTTTGTCAATTGAGGAGGAGCAAATATTTCAATTGTAACAATCAAAAGCCAAATGTTTTTTATTCTTTATAATTAACGGATAAGGTAAGAGATGTTTGACGCGTGTAAGGCATGTACATGACATGGATGTTTACTTGTTGTATAAGATACGAAAGGGTAATTTTATCATAAAATATTTTTTGTCAAATTAAAATGATTCAAATAATGACATAACATGTAACATTTTTTTCATCATAATGTATAATAATTACATTTTTCAACATGACGTGCAACAATTAAATTTTTAACATAACATGTAACAATTACATATTTCAACATAAGAATATAACAATTACATATTTCAACATAAAAGTATAACAATTAAATTTTCAACATGATCTACAACAATTATTTTCAATATGATGTGTAATAACTAAATTTTAAAATATGTTAAGGCAATTGCCATGTCATTAGCTCAGGCGATTTTCTGTCGCATGTGATATATCTTTTATCCACTTGTCAACTTAGTCTTCAATTGCATGGAATAAAAAACATTTGATTTTTAATTGTTACAATTGAAACTGTTCGGCCCTTAATTAGAAAAAGTATTCAAACATTTAGCTCTAATTTGAACATTTAGCCTTTAGTAATACTACTATTAAAATTAGATTTCTGCTAATTCGCGTTGAGATATTTGACAGGCATTCACAAAATAATGAATGTGAAGAACAACATGGCTCTCTCTCTCTTTGTGAAAAATTTTTGGACATTTCATCACATGGTTGCAATTTTTCCATAGGAAAAGGAAAGGGAGTTATAGTTGGGTGATCTCAATCAAGTAAGGGATCTGAAGATGACACCGGTCACTTGGAATACCTAATCTTCACCAAGGTCGAGGAGAAAGAATGTCCTGGTCGAGTAATTTGTTGGCTTAGGGATGAGTTCGACTCCATCTAGTCGTTCTGCTACTAATTCCTTGAAATTTGGATCTCAAGAGAATGCTGCCGTGCAGTCAATGCTTGCTTAATTGATAACTGGGAGAGTTAACTAGGAACAAGAGAGAGCAAGTAGATTGCAGTTGCAGTCTCAATTCGCCATGTTTGTAGACTTCTTGAGTAGGACGTTTCCAGACAAGAATTTCGCTAGTATTGCAATAGGATTTCAGGTAAATAATGGGTAATTATATATGTTTATTTCAAGGCGTATTAGGGTAGTGACGTTTTTAGTGGCTGCTCTCTTAGGTTTAAGCTCATTGCTCATTCTACCAAATGCTGCCTTAACAGTCATTCTCAAGCTGCTGCACAAGGCAGCGACAGGCCTTGAATGACTGCTGCCAAATTTGGGCATGCTACAGAATACAGCAAGCAAGGCTGCTGCTGCCAAGTGCGGACATCCTCTGCTGCACAAAGCAGCAGTAAGGCTTAACTGTCTGCATGCTGCCAAGTCCTCGTAATTATCCTCATCATCATCATCATTGGGGTTTCACTTGCAACCTTGAGTCCACTGGAAGTGTCTTTGAAGGAAAGCAAATTAATAAACCTTTTTATTATAATCTATCACAAAGAATTAAGAAAATTCACAGATAAACAATTCCAAGTTTATATATAATAATAATAATAATTTTTGAGCTACTCTTATATAAGAGGTAGCACGCTCCTAATCATAACTCCCAAGATTCAAACATGAAGTTGTTAATCTCCTAGGGACCAATTTCTCAACTATATGCACTTTAATCAGATTCCTAATTCTTCCTAACTAAGTTAACAATAAATTCAATCACATTGCTCATCCCAAGCTTCATTTAGATCCTTCAACATTAATCCACCACCTTCCTCTGCCGCCACGTCGCAAACTTTTTCCTTGCCTTGTCTCGTCTCGCCCGCACCCTCCTCGACGCCTTGCTTCGTTCCTCCTTCCTTGCACCCTTTTCTACGCGAATCCCTCAATGCATTACCGCCGGAAGCTGATCTCGAGGACACTTTTCCGGCGAGATAACTTTGGATAACGGTGTCCGAATCAGGAAACGTGGTTACTTTCCCCTCATCGGAGATGGTAACTATGGCGACTCGTGCCCCGCATAAGGTTGAAAGCTCAGCTGCTTTCTTGAACAAATTCCCACGACGTTTGGAGGTGCCTGCTTTGCCCGATTTTTGTTGCTTCCCCATAGTCTGTTAAGAGTATAAACCCTGATTTGATGCTATTGGTGTATATATAAGTTCAATTTCAGCTTAAAAGGGGCTCTACCCATCTCCTTTATAGGAGTAGAAATAATAGGTTTACTAATTTTACTAGACTTTTAAGATTACTAAAATATAGATTGTCCTCAAGATAATAAAAAAAAATAACAATTAAATTATTTAATTAATCCCTTTATTTTGATAAATTGATAAATTTAATATATGTATAATAATTTGTAAAAATTAAGTGGTATACTTTTTAAAAAATTAACGATTTTCAACTAATTATTAATAAATATTAATATTTTTTTATTATTTATACTGATATAATATTTTATTGTTGATATGACATTGAATATTATGATTTATCATAACATGGCAATTTTTACCTATTTCATAACACTCTTTTCACTATTTTAAATTATAGAATATAGAAATTTAATTTTTTTCTGTCTCACAATACTTTTTCTTTAAATTTTACAAACTTATTTATATTTTTATTTATTTTTTTAATCCTATTTAAAACTATTAGTTCACATTGGATAATTTGATATCCACACTTACAAAATCTATGTCAGCACTTAGATACGTAATATCGACACCAATATTGTATCATTTGTGAATTGTCATATTATTATTACAATGTCATAAGATTCAATGTCACATTAACAAATAATTATCATATCAACTCAATCAAACGTTATATCAAAATAGATGATAAAAAATTTAAAAAAATATTGGATTGCCGTTTTTAATTTTAAAAAAGTATAATGACTCAATTTTTATAAATTATTTTACGTTACTGAATTCAACATTTTGATAAAAGTTACTAATTGCATAATTTAACCAAAGATATCGGCAATAGACTAAGCTTTAATTACTTCTTCATTATTATTATTATTATTATTATCTTAAAAATGATAGGTTGATCTTAAATTATCTGACATGTTGGCTAGAAATGATTCTTAATTATTTTTAGAAAAGTAACCACAATCTTATTTAAATGAAAGATTAAGTACCTAAATAAGTTACTAAGTTATATTTAAAAAATTAATTAAGCTTTTATATGTTTATCACATTTAATTAAATCTTTAAAATTTATTTTAATCAAATAAATCTTTTTAAATAATTGTTTATTAACTTTCATTGAACAATTCCCAAATTCATAAGTTTTCTCTTTTGATCGATTAGAATTCATTAACTATGTTTTGGAATTTAAAATTCTATCATCTGAGTATTTTAAGAAGTTAAAGCTCTAAACTTTTAAAGACAAAGGTGGTTTAGCATGAGTGTTAATTGCATATTTTTGTTTTCAATCACCTCAATACATAATGGAAGACTTTAATTATCTTTTTATTTTCTTTAATTTTATATGATTGATTTTTTTGTTTTAATTTTTTTAAAATTCTTTTTTCAATCTTTTTGTAATTATTTTTGAACATTTGACGGAATAATAAAAAGGTAAACACACAAGTTTTACGTGACAAGTTTTATTATCATGTCATTAAAACGACATATCAACACGTGATCAACATGTCACATATCAAAGCACATGATATAAAAATGCCAATTGTATGATTGATTGAAGGATGTTAATCAATTATTAATGAAAAAAACTTATTCGATTAAAGATAAAAAATTAATAATTTAATTAAATTTAATAAAAATATAAAAATTTAATTAATTTTTTAATATAATTCAAGAATTTTATTTAGTAGTTAGCCCGATTGAAATACTGTTTCCTTATCAGCAATGTCAGTCCTAACATAATCAAACCTTTTAACCTTGTTTACATCACTATATAATACACGTTTAAACCCTAAAATCTTTTTCTTGACTAGCAAATTGAGAATTTTCTCTCTGGTTTTTTTAGATTGTTTCATCTTTATCGATCAGAATTAGCCATGGATGCAGGAAGTACAAGTAAGAGCAGACTAAATAGAAAAGGCAGCGGCCGTAGAAGGATTGAGATCAAAAAAATTGAGAACCAACGCCGACGTTGGGTAGCTTTTTCCAAACGTAAGAAGGGTTTACTAAAGAAAGCTGCCCAGCTCTCGATGCTGACTGGGGACGAAATCGGCGTCATCATAATTTCAGAGCAAGGAAGGGTTTATACTTCTGATAACGCTGATGCTGTTATCCATCAGTATCTGTCCATCAAATATGATGGACAAGATGATAATGATACGATGGATGATGAGGAGAAAGAGCGTGGAAAAGGGGTTATGGAAGATGGGTTTTGGAGGAGACAACCGGTTGATGTTCAGAAGATCGATGATGGGAAACAGAATTTGCAAGAGATTAAACTATTTGGAGAGGCTTTGGTAGATTTGAAGAAGAATGTAGTGGAAGGAATGGAGGAGATAAAGGGTAAGGAGTATTTATTTGATCTGAACAAAACTCCTGATGAGCAGTTTTGTTGAAAGGCAGCACAAAGGGTGCTTTTGGATAGTGGAATGGTTTACGGTTGTATGACAATTGACAATCCAATATAACTAGAATAGGGGAGTAGACACTAGATCCTTATACTTTGGGAGATAATCTTTATAGAATTCGTTTCAGTTCAGTCAGATAATTTCGATCCTTTTTACTTTTACTTGGTATATTCTGCGACTCCAATTAATTGGTTTTACTTGGATTTTTAAGAAATTTTCATTCATTACCTTATATCAAGTCTTGTTCTTGATGACTAAGTTTTACTTAATTAAAAAAATTTTATTTGATCCTAAATTAGTGATGTTTTTGTTCTTATGAATTAATATTAGGGTCTTGTAGAATTATGGTTATTTTAGAATTAGATACAACATTTATAACAATGGCATTGAGACAGGGCGAGAGATCCCATTGCTTCCAAATCCAATTCCTCACCATTACATTAGAACAACCCTACTAATTAAGCCTCCATTAAACAAAAATTCCAAAAGCTTTTATAAGGTCTATATCTTTAGAGCACATCCATGATAGAAGTAGTAATTAAACACGAAGAAGAAAGGTCCCACGGAACTCAATTTCGTATGCTTTTCATTGAGAACACGATAGGCAGAAAGAGAAGCACCGGTAGTCTCTTAATTTGTTGAGGAACATTACAGGTTTCCAATGGAGAGCTTTCAAGAAAAGCTTTGCTGTCTTTAAGCTTCCAAGACTTATGTACAAGACAGCGTTGCAAACAAGTAACCCTTTGCATCAGTTGCTACGCTGCAAATAGATAGAGTTTTCTCAACCCCAATCTCACCCGCAGCTTGACGTGTTACCTCTGCTCAAGCCCCTGCGGATGGAAATTGAGAAAATTTTTAGTAAAATATGAATGGAATTGAATCAGAGGACTCAGACCTTCAATTAAAGAAAGTAACAATGTTCAAAGAGACATTACCTTGAATTGGATAATATATACTTGGGGACCTGATTTTCATATATAACGCCCTTCAATACCAATCGAGAGAAACTTTTCCTTTTCTTCTGGCTTTGGCTTGTAATTATACTGTTTTGTTTCATAATTAAGCTTTTCTTCTCCTTCTGGCTTCATGTCATAACCAGGCTTTTCTTCTGGCTTTGGGTTCTTGTTTCTAAATGTATTGTTTTGTGAGATAATTAGGCTTTTCTTCTCCTTCTGGTTTCCTGTCATAACCAGGCTTTTCACCATAACTGGGCTTTTCTTCTTGTGGCTTTGAACCACAATAAGGCTTATATTCTCCTAGTGGCTGTCAGCTGGTATTCCATGATAACCATATTCAGATACCATAATCACCAGCAGAAGCGAGGACTAGCAATGGCAGGAGAAACCAAAGAGAATGCCAACCAGGGACAAGTGAAACCCATGACTCTTACCAATTTAACCGATCTGCGCAATGTAATTACATATGAAAGAATTATGAATTGTAGACCAAGTAAAGGGGCTAGCCCCAATGCCTTTTATAAGGAATAAGTTGGTCTAACGTTGACATGACTGCTTACCAATGATTAATAACATGAAAAAAAATTAAAATAAAAGAATTTGTTTACACAATTAATGCGACGTCGTTTAAGACTTGGGTAGCACTAACTTATGTATTACATACATCAATTCGGAAATTACAAATATTATGCCTTTGTACACGAATTAACATATCAATCAATTAACGAAATATGTGTCTTCTAGCCTTTATGACTAACTAAATAAGTTATAGATGAGCAATTCGCCACTATTGAAAATTTTTTGTGTTCTATTAGTTAATTTGTTTTGGAAAATATGGGAAATTGCAATGCTTTATAACAATGTTATTTTCTTAATGATGAACCAAAGTCGAATTCAATCTGATATGAATTCATTGAAAAAAAAATTCAAAAACATAAAATGAAATGACTCAAACCCAAAATAGTCCAAATTCAATATTGTAACTAAAAAAAAACAATATTAGAAATTTGAAAAGAATTGTGATCGTGGATGATGTTGGAAAGCATAGGACGTTGAAGGAGAATGTGTGAAATGAAAATAATATTTTAATAATGATCCAATATTAAAATAATGGTGGAGGTTCAATAAATAAATAAAATATTAAAAGATAATTTTAAAGAGGTAAGTTCGTTCAAAGTGGGGGAGTGAGATATTCATGGATTGAAGAATTTTTATCATAGAAAAATTTACATGTGTGGAATGTAATTCATATACTATATAATGACTAGTGTGATAAGTAATTAAAATACAAAAACTAAGGAAACTATGCCACATGAAGGTAACATGACCAGCCACTATATGGCCTTATAATGCATGCAAGGACAACAATTGCATGTAATCATTGTTGCATGCAAGTGGGGGAAACATGTGGCCCCATGTGAAAAAAAAAAATTGGAGAACTTATTGGCAATTAATCTATGTAAAAGAGGTTAAGGATTAAATGGGCAGTCAACACAGTTGACCACCCATGCAACAACCAAAGGAAGAAGAAATGAAAGGAACAAAATTACACCAATGAGGAGGGGCAGACAAAGCAATGTTGTCCTCCTATGCAAAGAAAATAATGCAAAAAAAGAAGAAGAAGAAGAAGAGAGGATTGGATTGAAAGGAACTAAGTTTGGGGAATCGCCCATTCTTTGGAGCTTAGACATTTTGCCCCATGCTTTCCTAGAAAACCTGAGAGCTCCAAAGAAATTCTCTCAAGTCTTTTTCTATCATTCCTACATTCCAAAGAGAGCTAAAGATACCAAAAGCATAGCCATCCAAGCTTCCAATATCCTTATTATTTGAGTGAACTCGAGGGCTCCCATGGAATTCTTCCAAGTTGGTTTTAAAGGTGATGCATGTATAAGTAACTATATATGTTAGAGATTCTTCTTGGTTCCTTGCAACCCGTGGCTACCTGCTTATTTTGAAGGGATCAAGGAGCCACAAATGGAAGTTAGGAGCTGGGAATTTGCTGTGTAGTTAAGGAAATTATGAGTTAAGCTTTAAAGATTTAAGTGTAAGAAATTTATAGCCTTTGAACTCATTGTGGCAGATTTGGAGATGTGGGTGAAGTAGTGTTGAAAATCAAGAATTTGGATGAGTTAAGCTGCTAGAAACTAATGGATAATTGCTCACCCAAATTAGCTACGGTTTATTAAAAAAAATGAAAATGAGCTTGTTCAATTAATTAAATATGCCTTGCTGTAAGGGATTAGAAGAGAAAGAAACAAGTTGCTGAAAATGTTACCAAACCGTGGTTTAGTTCGAAAGGCTGATTGGTGAAGTTGGAAGCTAAGGAAATAAATTGGAATTTGAAATTAGATTGCCATTTTAACTGCTGGTCACATGTACAAGTGGATAGTCTTAGAAAATATACCAAGTAAATGTGAATTCTTAATGACTAGGAGATTGGTTGAATTAGTGCCTTGGTTGCTAAACAATACTTGGTGAAGGCATGGGAGATTGGCACGTTGGTCGAGCATAGAGCCTTCAAAGGCTCGGGTGGTGATGAAAATTTGAGCTTGCTAAGTCCTTAGTCAAATCAAGCTTAAGTTAAGGAGGTGGATTAGTAATTGGTGAGAATTCCCACCACAGGAGATGAGTGGCAATTCCTTTTTAAAGTATTTATTGAATGGTGAATATGATATCTTAAATATGTTAGATATGCCCACTGTTTAATATTATTCAATTACATTGAGTTCCCTTGTTTATATTTGGATTGCAATTGGGTTGCATGAGCTGTTAGTGATTAGGAATGATTATTAAGCTCGTTTTATACATGTTGCTTTTGTGGGCATATCAAAACTATTAAGCTATTTACAAAAGGGGAAACAAGCCTTTGAAACATGATGAGATTTTGTACTCTATTTTGAAGCATTCAAAATTGTATGTATTACACTCCCTAGAGTGGTTGTTAATGAGTTTTCTAATCTACCTCGGTGGCAATTTTCATGATGCTTAACTGAAATATTTTAACTATGCCATGCTCATTGATTTTCATAAGCAAACTTGCTATTTTAATGTTCACTGATTTTGTGACGAACTTGTTTATATATATTGCTCATGGCATTCATGATTTAAACATGCATACATGCCTTTTGAGCTTATGATTTAATTGATTATATGCAATTGAAATTCTATTGGTTTATTTTCTCGGGTAAACCTTACAGGTATAGGTCCTGTTACCACACCAGATTTGTGTGGTCTTTGTGCACAAAGTAGTGATTATTGATGATTGATAATTGATAATAAAAAGGGACCAGAAGCCCTGACTCATATTTATAATTGTTTATAATTGCCATGGTTAATCGATTTTATCGAGCATGAGATTTTTACACTACAAAAGTTATTCAAAATTTTAAGATTTAAATTTAAGCATATTATATTGATGCACATGATTTATTAACTTTGTGCACCATCTATCCTATTATACATATGTATTATCATTAGGCTTTTATCAAAAACTCTACCTTAATGCTTGTTTCCCTTCTTGTCCACTCATTGAGTATAAAAGGCTCACCCCAACTAGTTGACAATGGTAGATAATTGAATTAATTGAAAGCAGTTGTGGTGAGGGGACCTCAGCTTGTTGCATAGGTAATTGGCATCCCATAGCACTTCCTAGGGGTCACTCCATTGTCTAGATGTCAAGTTATCTACTGCTGATTAAATTTAAATGATGTAATGTTTCAAAAGTTTTGATATCCAGAAGTATTGTACTGATGCCTTTAAGTTTTACATCATTTAAATCGTCATGTGAGATCAAGAAATTTATTTGCTAAATTAGTTATGAAGGTAAAAGAAGCTTCACAGTAATAGAAATTAAAGCTAAGTGACATTTATCAAAGTAACATAACATATTCTTCGAAGGCTTCCGAGTTGTGCGGGCTTGCCTACATGACTTGTGCGCTAATGATAGCTGTAGGGTGGGTCATTACAAACATAATACAAATTTGACTTAACTCGAACTTGAAGTGAACCAAACTCATAATGACCCAAAATTCA